AGGGTGGGGACAGACGGACATCGGCTCCCCGTATGGAATAAATCCTGCTGCCACTCAGCAGCCTCGGGTTTCGTGGCTCATTCCTGCTCCTGCACCAGAGCCAAGGGCTGGGGGCATCTCCAGCAAGAGCTTTTGGCCCGGTGCTGTAGAAAATAATGAGGGTTTTTCTTCGTGGATTTCTCCTCGTGGATTTTTCCTCGTGCTCATTGCCGCAGAGAATAATGAGGATTTTTCCTCGTGTTCATTGCTGCACAGAATAACAAGGATTTTTCCTTCTGGGTTTTTCCTTGTGTTCTTTGCCAGAGAACAACGAGGATTTTTCCTCGTGCTCATTGCTGCAGAGAATAACGAGGATTTTTCCTCGTGAATTTTTCCTCATGGAGTTCATTGGTGTAGAGAACAACAAGGATTTTTCTTTCTGGATTTTTCCTCTTGTTCTTCGCCAGGGAATAACGAGGATTTTCCCTGGTGATTTTTTTCCTTGTGGATTTTTTTTCGTGTTCATTGCTACAGAGAACAAGGATTTTTTTTCCTTGTGTTCATTGCTGCAGAGAATAATGAGAATTTTTCTTCGTGGATTTTTCTTCGTGGATTTTTCCTCATGTTCATTGCTGCAGAGAACAAGGAATTTCCTCGTGGGTTTTTCCTCGTGTTCTTTGCCAGGAAACAACAAGGATTTTTCCTTGCGTTCATTGCTGCAGAGAACAACGGGGATTTTTCTTTGCGGATTTTTCCTCGTGGGTTTTTCCTCGTGGATTTTTCCTCCTGGCTTTTTCTTTGTGGATTTTTCCTCGTGGATTTTTCCTCGTGGATTTTTCCCCGTGTTCATTGCTGACAGACAAGGATCTCCAGGCTGCAGGGCTGGTGGAGTTGGGCAAACCTGGGAATCAGGGCAGCTCCTTCCCCCCAGCTGATTTCTGATCCCATTTCCAGGTAAATATTTGGCGGATAACTGATGGAAGTTTATGCAAGTCCATGGAAAATACTATGGAAAAATCCCCAAGGACTGCTGTGCGTGGAACGGGTTTTAATTACAGTTTAAGGAAAATGAACTAAATCCTGCACTCGGGACATTTCTGTTGGAAGTGTCGACAACTTTCAGCATTTATTTTTTTTTTTTTTCCTTGGAAAACACCGTCTTGACCAGTCCTCCAGTATTTACTTCTAGATGTAACATTGTTAATGGTTTTAAAATGTAATTATTGTATTTGTAAATTGTACTCATTCCAGTAAGGCTGTATTTTGGCAGTTAGACACTTGAGTTTTAGCATTTTACCATTCATGAAATGGATGTAATTTAAACTGTGGTATATAAATCTAATAGTAGTACTGTTGAATGGCACAATGCTTACAGAGGTAGATTGCATTTTGTCAATATATACAATTTAAATACGATACTGGTAGCTGTTATGAAGGGGGTGCCTCATCAAAAGAGAGTTCAGTAGAGCCCACAGGCTGATTTAATTTTCCTTCAGTCCTTAGTACGTCTCACAGCCATCAATAAAAAGCTCAACCTTCAGGTTTAGCTGGTTTAACTCCAGAAAAAAAAAATATTGTTGGAAAGCTGAAGGTTCCTAGGACGGTCCCCCAGGAAGAAAATCTCACTTCTGCAAAAGAGTATTTACTCCAAATTTCCAGCCCTAAGAGCTGCAGATTCCCTGCTGGAATGAATGCCGTGTGGATTTTATATCCCTGCCCGTGTGTTTGGCAGGGATTCAGGTGAGGAAAGGAGCAGCAAAGAGGCTGGGAGGTCACTCTGAGCTCACAGCACTGGCACAAAAATGTCATCGTTGGCTTCAAGGATGCGTTTTCTGAGCTGCCCCCGGATGTTTGTTTGTTTTTACGTTGCTTTGCTGGCTTTTTTCTGCCTTTCTTCCCCCCCGTTTTTGAAAGCTCTACGGGTTTAGAAAACGCTTTAAAGAATCGCAGCTGCACCTGCTTCTCTGTTTTAGCACTCGGGCAGGAAAACGTGCGTGGAAAAACGCTGGGAAAAAAAAAAATTCCCCAGGGAGCAGGAACAGCACGGGGGGTGCTGACAGGAATCAGGGCAGGAGAATTGGGAGCAGAGATGGGAAAACACATGGAAGTGCTGAACTGGAGGATGAGGGAGAAAATTTTATCCCTCTGGTGTTTTCCCTGTCCCACTGAGTGCTGCTCATTCCCGTGGATTTCAGCCTCATCCTAATCCTGGCAAAAGCCTTGGTGGCACAGCGCTGCAGCTGCTGGGTTGAGCCGGTTAAAAAGGAGGATTTGGCAATACTGGGAGTCAAAAATGAAGGGAAGTTTGTGGAATTAAACACAGAGGCACGGAGGAGCACGGGAGCATCCACCGAGTGCGGTGCTGGGACTTGGGGGGTGTGGAAAATGATAAAAATGATAAAAAGTTCGGGTTTTACAAGTGATGCCAGGATTAGGGTGGTGCGTTTGCATTGGAAAACAGCCTGGGCGTGTTGGGAAGTGCTTGATGTATGAAAACAGAGATCTGTGCCCATCTTACAGGAAAAGAAGGGAATGTGGGGATATTTCAGGTGTGAGGTGGCTCCCGGGCTGACATCTGGGGGGTGAGCCGTGTGGGAGCTGACGAAAGGAAAAGCACAATTCACTCCTGCAGCTTCCCACATCCTCACCGATTTGGGGACTGCACACCCCGGTGTTCCACTCCATGAATGATTTTCCCCCTGAACTGGAAATTTGTGTAAATTGTGTGGAGCTCACCCCTTTCTGACACAGAAGTATAGAATCAGGTTTATGGTGTGTATAATTGTTCCAAACCCATCCTTCCAAAAGAGAACTACTGCATAGACCTGAAAAAAAATAATAGGATTTATAATGTAAATATTACCAGAACATAGAGATTTTACTTTATATTTCGTTTGAAAGAAAAGGTGTTTACATTAGCATTGGGTTTTTTGAGCGCTTTTTAAAGAGAAAAAACCCATAACCCAAAGCTCCCAAGCTCATCCTGTTTGAGCTGGTGAACAAAACCGAGGTCACTTTTTTGGGATTCAGCCCTCGTGGCCTGGGGAAGAGAGATGGGAACAGTCTGGGACATTTCTGGGATGTGTGGGATGTGCCAGCACTCCCAGCCCCACAGGGACACAGTCCCAGCTCCAGCCCCTGGCAGGTGACACCAACCCTGTGACACTGCGACCACCTGGGACAGGTTTTTCCATCCTGCTCGTGCCAATTTTTGGCACGGAAGGAGTGTTTTTAGGATGGAATGTTTTCCCAGAGTAAATTTGGGGAATTTGGGTTTGTTGGGAGTTTGGTGAGAGCACCTGGCTCCGGAGAGGGACCTGGAGTGTTCAGGACATTCAGGCTCTGCAGGCTTCACTTCTGCTGTGGCTTTTAGGTAGGAAAATCCGTTTGTTTTCAGGGAATTCCTCTGTTTGGGGTTGGCTGCCCACTGGCAGAGAGCAGCTGAGGCAGCAGGGAGGGGAAATGGAAATTCTTTGGGTTCATACAGATCCCAGACTGATTTGGGTGGGAAGGGATCTTAAAAATCGTCCAGTTCCAGCCCTGCCATGGCAGGGACACCTTCCCCTGTCCCAGCTTGTTTCACACCCCATCCAACCTGGCCTTGGGCACTGCCAGGGATCCAGGGGCAGCCACAGCAAATCTGGGCACCCCTGTGCCAGGAATTCCCAAATCCCATCCATCCCTGTCCTCTGGGAATCCATTCCCTGTGTGCTGACCCTCCATCCCTTGTTCCCAGTCCCTCTCCAGCTCCCATCCCATCCCAGGGACCCTTCCACTGTCCCAGGGTGCTCCAACCCAGCCTTGGGCACTGCCAGGGATCCAGGGGATCTGGGAATTCCAGCCCAGCCAGGAATTCCTCCCCAATATCCCATCTAAATCCATCTTCTTTCAGCTCACAGCCATTCCCTGTGTGCTGTCCCTCCCTGCCTTGTCCCCAGTCCCTCCCCAGCTCTCCTGGAGCCCCTTCAGGCCCTGCCAGGGGCTCTGAGCTCTCCCTGGATCCTTCTCCTCTCCAGGTGAGCACCCCCAGCTCTCCCAGCCTGGCTCCAGCCCTTGGAGCATTCCCAGAGGGAAACACCACAGCTCTGTTTCCCAGCAGGGCTTTTTCCAAGTGGAGAGGGGGCTCAGCAGCACTGGGATCCGAACAAACAGAAAAAGAAATCAAATCAAATCATTTTTAATCATAAAAATGTGGATGCGTGCACAGAAAGGCTTTAGCTCTGTTCCTCCCACTGACCTTTCCCTTTAGACTCCATCCCTCAGCAACCTCTCCCAAAGGAATTTTCCCCTGGGAATTTGGCAGCCCACACCTGCAGGGTCAAGGTTCCTCTGGCAGAGCAGGAGAATTTTCCCCCAAGGACAGCTCCAGACCTGGAATGTTACATGGCAGGAGCAGGAAGTCGTTTTTCTTGTCCCCTCTCTGCTGTTTGCTGCAAAGTGTCACAATTCTCAGCCAGCTCGTGGTGCTCCTCACAGGAGACCTTTCAGAGCAGTTTTCTAATTTAACAATGTTTCTTAATAACTCTGAAATCTCTCAATAGTAGGAAATATCACCAAATACTGAGCTTTTCGTTTGGTGTCTGCATTTATTCCTGAATATCACTGCCCTGTTTAAAACATCTTTCCTTTTTTTTTTTTTTTGTCATTCGGTATTTCAGTGAAATTAATTTGTCTTCACTCTGCCCTTTCAGGTTTCGTCTATTAATTTTTAAATCATAAATGGGAAAAGCCTGGAAGTTTCTGTTGGAATGTCATCCCTTTTTAGCCAGGCAGAGCAGGGAAGGGAAGGTACAGTCCCCTGGCACCCTTCCCAGGCTGCTCTCCAAGATTCCTCCAGCAGGAACATCCAAAAAAAAAAAAAGAGTCACCACCTCTTTCTCCCAGCAGAAACATTTTTAAATGGCTGGAGTGCACTGAAAAGGTGACACATTTTTAATTTACCTAAGAGAGAGTCAGACTTTTTTTTTACCTTACCCTTTTGTTGTTTTAATGTGAAAATATCTTGGTTAAAACCCCTAATTTTGAAGCTTGTCATGACCAAAATATGTAACATCATCGTGTTGTACTTTCCTGGTTAGAAAACACTGCCTCAAATATTTTTATTTCATAGCCAGAATTCTTCTCTTCCTCTTTTCCTCACAATTTTAAATGAATCCGTGTAGAGCCAGGGAGGTTTTATGATAATCAGGATTATTCCAGTTTTATGATAATCAGGATTTGAATTCTTCTTTCACTGCAAGGCAAGGAAAAGATCTGCAGGACTACACCCTGCTCCAGCCTGGCTTCCCTTGTCCCTTTAGGAGGGATGATGCTGCTGGCAGTGGTTTTTGGAACCACAGATTGATGGTGGGGATGCTCTTCACAGGTTTGTGGACAGGCAGGATGTGGTGGAACACCAGATCCCAGCGAGCCCTTTGGGATATTTTGTCCATCCATTAGAAATTCCAGGTTTTCTGGCAATCACCGTGGATGTGGTGTCCCAATGCAGGAAGGGGTTTTTCCTCTCCCAAACGTTCTGAGGTTGGTGAAATGCCTTGGATGCCATAAAACAAGCAGGGATGTGTGGTGGTCTGAGCTGGGAATTGAGTTGGGATGTGCTGGGAAGCTCCCAGGGCTGGTGGGAGGAGGGCCCAGGATGTGGGACATCCCCACTGTGACACCCCAGCAGTGAATCCAATACCCCCAGGTATCACCCTGGACCGTTTAATGAACTCCCTCGTGTATAAAATGTTTATAAATATTTGTGGATGAAGATGCACAGGTCTATTTTTAAGATTTAAGTTAAATAAGTTAATGAATGGCTGGCCTTTTCTGCCTAAACGTGCAATGAGATATATTATACCTTTAGTCTACGATGGCCTAGGTACTGCTTAGTCTGTGATGAAAACTTTGCTGCTTTCCTACTGTTCTCAGAGAAAAAAAAAATAAAATAAAATAAAACCTATAAAAGACGTACAGGTTTGTTGCACAGGGACTACTGCAGCGAAGCTTTGTATTTGACCACTGGTAATATGAATGTGTTGTATTGACTTGTTGAAGATAATCATGAATCAAAACATATTTTAAATGTTACTTGCCTTATAGATTAGAGTACGACTATGTGGATATCATTTTTGTAAATACTGTTTTTTATAAATGTCTCTCCTCCATCCTCCCCGTCACCCATTTCACCCACTCTCAAATATGCAATTATTTACCATGCAGAGCGTTGTGACAAAGAAATCCCCCACGTCAGAACAAAGTTTATTCATTCTATACATAAGAACCACATGAACTACCCAACTGAGTTGCAATTTAAATGTGATTATTATTATTTTTTTTTCCTTGAAAATAAACAAAAAAACGTAAAACAATTTTTTTTTTTTGTTTTCTGAGCGAGTTTTGCTTCCACGTGCAGCAGCACCCAGAGGAGAGGGCAGAGGGATTGAAGGCTGGCCCCAAAAAAAGGGTCAAAAAAGGGTCCCTGTCCCAAAAACCATCATTGCTGCTGGAGTTATGGGCAGTGTCCCAGCACGGGGACAGGTCGAGGGTGGCAGGTGGGGACAAGTGAGGATCCACAGGGAGCGTGGGGATGGATGGAGCTGCAGGAATGGGCTGGGGGGACACGGGGACATGGGGCTGTGGGGACATAGGGCTGTGGGGACATGGGGACACGGGGAGGCCATGGGGACCTGCGGAAGGTGTAGGGATAAGGTGGAGGGCCGGGAATACTGAGGGATGGAGGTGGGGAACGGGAATGAGGCGGGGAATGGGAATATGGAGGGATGGAGGTGGGGAACAGGAATACGGAGGA